GATATACATATATTTAAACACTGAAATAATTAATTTCCAGTTTCATCCTCATTATTACGATACCTCATCGCATAATAAAAATGGATATGAAAATAAACCGTATACGAGCACCAAATTTTTGTCAAGCTGAAAAACTAGCACTTGTATCATTAATAAAAAAAATACAAATTGATAATAGAAAATAAGCGGACTGATGCTGTGAGTGTTAGAGAAAAAGAAGAGGCTTGGCTAAAGATATTGGACGAGTATAATCAGCAAAGCAACTGTCGCCCTCGCGAATTAGGAAACATAAAAAATTTCTGGATTAATGCTAAAAAGGACACCAAGAAGTTGTATGCAAAAAATAAAAGGGAAATATATCTCACTGGTAATATAATTAACATTAAATTATTTTGGCGCTTTTGATCACGAGCAAGAATTTATTTTTATCATATATTTGTTATAGGTGGTGGATCGTCAAATATTGTGAGTGATGTTGTGGCCGATGCCGTTTATGAAATAATTGGGCCATCCATCGATGGACTGATCAATCCGTTTGATTCTGACAAGCTCATATTTCGAATTATGTAGAAACGCCATCAACTATAACAAATCTGCTAGATAATGATATGGAGAATGATGATCCAAATCATACAAGTGTTTTCCAGGTTTGTCAATATCATACAATCTTTATGTTTATTGTTATTTTATATGTAGAAACTTACATTATTTTAATGAGATACAAATATTTTCAGCATTTAGTAAAAAGCGGAGAAGTGAAAAGTTGGGCGGAATATAATCCTCAAAAATTGAAAACCATCATCAGTCCCCCGCTTTCCAATGTAAAAGAAGGTGTTCAGGATAAATATAAGCGCCTAAAAATGGTCGAGTCAACAAAAACTTCCAATGAAGAAACATTGAGTCTTATGGAGACAAAAACAGCACTAGCAAAGTTAATGATGAAGAACATTCAAGCCAAGCAACAAATTGAAACAAGAATACTAAAAACAAAACTCAAAGAGAAACTTGCAGTTAAATTACTTAAAATGAAATGTAGAAAGATGAATAGAGGAGAGCCTATTTCTTCCAATTCAGATAGTATGTTGTCATCTGAATCTTCAGAAGAGGTTTTTTAATCTACATATACATATGAACGGGTAAAGGAAACATACTGATGGTACGACACTGGTAAATATGCATAAAAGGTCACACCTCACCGATGTCCTCGGCACTTAGATATGTTGTAGGGGAGAGTTTTCTGAGTAATTCCCCGCAAGAATCAAGTGGGGGACGGCATTGGTTTAGGAGATATAACAAATTGAAAACTAAAAATTTTAATACTTTTTCTTAGTAATTTTTATTAAAATGCCTGTGTAGCTACCTTTAAAATCATAAACAAACTACCATTTTCATTTACAAGGTCACACCTGCCCCCTCCCGCAACGGTCGGTACGGATTGAACACACACATACACACACGCGCGCGCGCACGCTTCTTCTCGCGGCGCAGACTGACCGAGCAAGCGAGATCCACTCCACACCTCTGATATAGGGTGGGTAAGGTTA